GGCGGTTTAAGGTACAGCGTGTTCGGCGCCACCGCACACTGTCGGCGTATGAGTTGCTCTCAATTTGTTGCGAGTTTATCTTGTCTCACTAAAGATTCTTCATGTGTTTAACAAGAATGATCGTTTCAGTAGGAATTGTCGTCGCCTGAGAAAAGTCAAGCGCAAGGGTGGTCACAGGGCAGTTGCCCTTGCATCTGTAGCTGGCGCTGTTTCCCTCTGCGTGGTTTGTCGCACATTTGTGAACGGCACACTGATTGATACTAGCATTAGCAACAATAATAATACGAATGATACTAACATAACCAGTGACGCTATTCTGACACATTGACAATTCTTAGTTTTCAGCAGATTGACGCGGCTTCAACGCCCCAATTGCTGTCAACACTAGGAAACACAGGGCCAAGCAACACGTGCTCAAACGCATACAAAGTTTATGTGAAAAGTGTTATTTGGTCGTTTTTTTTGCTAGTGCAAATTCTTCCAGGGCGGCAATGGCAAGGACAGCTTACCGTCAAAATCCCAGATGGCAAACGCCCAGATGATCTTTGTTTCTAAGCGAGTTCTGCTGCTGAATATTCCCATCATATTCACAAATTTGACGAACGTTAGTGTGCAGCTGCCGTCTTCGCTGAACAACTCACACATCCGCCTCGCGAATGGATTGGCTCTCAGCTCAGGGAGGGCTCGCAGTTCCTGCACCCGTGAAGCCAAAGTCACTGCAGTGATGAGGGAACACAGGCATTGAAAATGGCGCATTCTCAGGAAATGGCTGTGCCGAAATGACGGTCAACCGCAGCACATGCATGCTTGTATTGCGCTCAACATTGCGGGGACTGCATTGGGACTCCTGCGATAGGCCGCCCTTTCTTGCACAGTCCTAGCGGTGCAAGCAGCACAAAGTGGATTGGGTCAATCGAGTTCACAAGGGCGTCCACGTGCAAGGCCTTCCAACAAAGGGGCGAATGGCGAACCCACTCCGTAGCTCAATGTCCCCGTGTTGTCCTCGTCCAGCTGGTCGAATCTGTGCCACAGGCGCACGACCTCGGAATAGGTGAAAGGCGTCTTCTTGGCAAATTCCCGGAGCTCATTGTTTCTGCCGCCACACCAGCCCATTTTCCTTGTGGGCGTCTTGCGACGGCCGGAGATGCTCTGCGGTGCTCCGGAGGCGCGTTTTACACCTTTTTGGGCCAACAAAAGGGTGTACCAAACATCTTTACTGTATACAAACCGCGGCAAATTGCGGTGTGAAGCTGACGGTGACGTTGCAGCGACTCTGCTCGGAGACGGGTAGTATGAATAGTAATCCAGACCACATCTAAGCGGGGATTGGCTCAAATGACAAGTCACGTTTGCTGCAAGTAAAACGGCAAAAGGTTCGGCGCAATCATTGCACACTGAGTCCCCAGGTCAATCCCCTGAAATGCAGTCATACCTTTGTGGCAACGCGTCCTAGATCCTTGGATGATCCAACGAGTTGAGACCTGAACCAACGAATTCCTCTCGGCAACTCAAACGTGTGTGACCCAGTACAACATGTTGACATCGGCCACCAGAAAGATTCCAATGATTTTAGTGTGTCTACCATTGGTGATATTGACGCTATCATTCCCCAACAGCCCTGCTGAAAAGAATAGTACTGGAGTCGCAAGCCATACTGGCTTCCCAGGATGGCGCAACGCGGGAAGCAAGAGTTCACTTTCTGGGATGCGGCGGAGAAGATGTTTGAGGAGAAGCGAGGCACGCGGGTCGTTGGGAGATGGGATTGGCACGCGTGGCAGATTTTTCGCGCCCAGTGCTGGTTCGTCCGAAGATGGCCTGTGGTTGCTTGGGAACGCCTGAGGGCAGACTGGAAGCTCGAAGACTGGCGATTTTAGGGGAGAATAATGTGGCGAAGGAGGCTGTCGGAGGGGAGACCTCTGCTGCGGTCATGACTAGACTGGAGGCCCTCGAAACGGCGTTGCAAAATTTGCACAGGAGCCTGTGGATTAGCGAACAGCGAGCTATCGGCCTGAAAGGTGGTAAGGCCGCGCACGGGCCTCAAGAAGCGTATTTGAAAGTGAGCATTGGTGGCGAAGGCACGCCCAGCGGACAGGACCATTCACTGAAACTGCGTTTTGGGGAGCATAGAAATGCCACCAAGGATCAAGGACATGCTGGCCAGGATCTAGAGAATTCTGGGGGAAGCATGGATACGGAGAGGAAATACACACTTGAGGACAGCGTCGGAGAAGTGAAACAGGGTAACAGGCAGCGAATCCTGTCAAATGCCACTCAGATTGCGAATCTGGCAGCACAGAGGCTCAGCAGAGGAACACAAAATCTTGTTAAGCCGGTACGTCATGAATTGAGCTCTGCTGTTCTCTGGGACGATGTGCAGAGGGTGCCCAAATCTAACCTGGAGGGCCAGAGCGTGAACTCTGGGGAACATGAATCAGGAAGGGTAGAGACGCAAGTTAAAGGAGCGCCTCATGGCTTTCAATCAGTGGCCCATATGATCACAAGGGGCCATGAGACAGTTGTGCGCGACCTGCAGTAATGCTGGCACCTTGCTTTGTCCCATGTGGAAGCGAAGGGGCCCCTGGGGATTCTTATAAATAGGTTTGTTGCGACAATACCTTTGGACACTATGCCAGGTCCACAGATAGATTGACCAGGCTGGTAGTGACAGAGGAGAATGCACAAAATTGTACTTGTTCACAGCACACCATTGTGCCAGCGTGCACAACAACAGCTGTCCAGCATGTAGTTGTTGGTAGTTCTGCCTGCTGCCGTCTCTGTGCTATCTCAAGGCTAATCCGTTTGTGCGGACGGTTGTCTAATTTTGGCATTTCGCGAGAGAGAATAATAGTGAGGTGGATGCACTATTCAACTTCCATACCATCGTTGTTGAATTTGTCCCCGTACATTCGCATTTGCATGTCTGGCCATATCTCACAATAGCACTGAATGGCATTTGTTGAAAAGGAAAGTATGGAAAGTTCGAACAGGCACCAACCTCATGTCATGGGACAGGCACTGCTGTGAAGGCTGCACTAAGTTGAGTACGGTACTCTGTTGCCACGCCTGTTGACCTACCTCGAGTTTACTATTGGAAAACCTATATTACCACCAGCACTGTCTGCCAACACGATACACACGCATTTGTTGTTGCAAAGTTTGTGCATTGGGGATCAACAGGCGTCCTGTCAATGCAAGAACATGAAGAACTCCGCAAGTGATACATTGCCAAGGCTACGTGTCCTGGTTCTTCTGCTGCATGTGTGTGCTGTACTTTTAGAGTTCTGTACGCCAAGGTAGAAATACCAAAGAAAACATCTTACAGAGTCATTAATTTAAGGAATGATATTGGAACAGTGTTATCATGGTGATCCACACTTCATTCCAAATTTTATATTGGGCCATTGGCAGCACTCACAATTGAGGTGAGCCAGACGCGTGGTGAGGCTCTTACTGACATTGAGCTGTGTTGTGTCACCCATACAGTCTGTAATCAATAGGGTATCCTGTCCTTGCTGCAAGAAACATCATTTGCCCATTGTGCGCAGATTGGCCTCTTGGGGTATCTGGCCCATCCTGGCCACACAACGCTTTGGCTCTGGAGTTGGTGGATCCGTGCACAGTTTTTTATGCCGCCCTTGGCTTTCTTTGCCGTTGTTTGTGCTGATCTCACTATTCGCAGCACAATGCCAGCAATGCCAGTCAAAGCACGTCACCCGAGTGATTGTGCACCTGCATTTCCATATCCAACTATCAGATTCTGTAAATCCTGAGTAATGCAAGTTGATCGTTGCAGAAATCAGCTGTGCTACGCTTTGCAATGTGAAGCGCAGGCATCCGTAACACTTTGGGAGTTCTACAACGTGTGTTCTGTTGGTTGCTATTGCCACCAAGAATGGCCTTTAATGGCCGCACCTTCAAGAATGTGCAACCATGTGTGATGTGTGGTTTTGCATTTTTCGGCTGACAAGACTTATTCCCCCCAGTTGGCTGCTGGCTGCTTTGCTGGCAATGGAGGACGAGGGGCACGCGAGTAAGAGGTCATTGATCCCATGATGAGTTGCCTGTCCTTGTGCACAATGGTGCTTCCCTTTGTGATGAATGTGAGCTTTCTCTGGACGGCGCCTCAGATGGTCGCAAGCGCCTGCTGCATGCACGACTTGCTGTACGTTGCAAGGGGATGGGAGCATACTTGGAGGAGAGCGTAGAGTTCGATGTGTTAGGCTGCATGGAATATGGTTGCTCTGTCGTGATGTGAATATGGAATTCTGGCCTTCGCCAGATGAACCTGGCGAATCCCCAATTGGGAGAATCGACCATGGCCATTCCGGCCTTGATCGTGCGCCTCGCACTCTGGTGATTCCAGTTCTGCGCCGCTATGTTGCATAGACGTTCTTGCAATATTGTGCCTCTCTTGCCATTCTCTGTTCCATCACCGAGGGTGCTGCGGTTCTGCAAGAATGCTGGCAAGGGCTGCAGGTCTTTGCTCCTGAAGTGAAAGTAATCAGCACCAAGGATACTGCATGTCCATGGCCACAGCAGAACATGGGCAATGGGAAAGGCGGGTGTCCTTTTAGGCTTTTTCGCTGTTTCAGTTTCAGCCAACGACCTCTTGAAGCATTATGGAGGCAATGCGTGCCTCCCAACCAGCCCCATTGCGTCAAGAAAGCACACAATCAATGGACATGTCTCATTGAGGAACCCCATTCTACACGCAGCAATTGTCAGTGAGCGTCAATTGGGTGAAAAGCGTTGATGTTATTGCATCGTTCATTCGGGCACCTGCAACCCCAAGGATAATGAATTGTGGAAAGACTTCGCACACTGGTGTGCATCACTATACAATGCACCTGGTTGCCTACTCGACCATTGCAACACGTGCAAAATTAAGCATCGCCAACGGCAACCCGTGGTCGCCAGAGCTGCCAACCGTTTGAGCCACCCATAACCGCATCCAAATCTCGATCTCATTTGCGTGCCCCTCCGCCTACTTGGACACAGGTTCAAGACTTGCTGCTGCCATTCCCCGAGTAGGAGAGGTCCCCCCATCGGACATTGTATTTGGCCCCGAGGTAGTGGGCGCCCACAGGGCCCCTGCTGCCGTAAGGGTACAACTCGGGCTGCGCCTGCAGCTCCTCGATCTTGTGCAGGACTGGCGTGAATAGATCCCATGCGGCTTCCAGCTCATCACTCCGAATGAAAAGCCTCTTGTCACCTGCCAAGCACACCAACAGAGCGGTTGGAGGAGCAGGCAGGCCACCACGGCCTCTTGCACAGAAATCAAGGCGACAGTGTTCCAGGCCTCCCGAGACAAGGCTCTTGTGGCCATGTGTTATCTAGAAATGGATGCGCGGGTCTCCCAATGCTGTGAGGTAAGGGCACATCGAACAATGCTCAGCAGACATAGCAAAGACCAAGGTGTTTTGCAATTCGAGCAGTAACTGCAGAGACATATTCCATGCGGCATTCGCCAATAGAACGTTCGCTTGGAACCAATGTCCAGTCCTTTTGGAACCAATGTCCAGTCCTTTCAACAACGTCAGACCTTGCACAAGGCTTCTTTGGATAATGCTGCCAGGCTCACAGGCGGTGATACCCAACAGCCTGTTGAGATATCTACTGAAAATTTCCTTCGCATCGCGAAGAGTTCACAATCGCTACACAGACAAAAGAATCCATGGCGTTCTCACAATATCCACACGTAGAAAATTAGCGTATACTGTGCAACAATATATTCATGAGTCCCTACATCGCAACATGCTGCCACACAACAACCTCTAGGGAAGGTCAAAATATGGCTTCCGTATCTCGGCGCGCGATTCACAGGTTCTCTGATCCATCCACACCCGAAACGAAACTGAAACGCCAAACTGCACCGGTGCGCAGGGCAGTTCCGTCATTGGAACATGCACATACATGAAAACTATCATGATACCCTGCCACCACGGTTCCTTGAATCAAACAACACATTGGGCGGTTCAGCTGACCACCGTGTGGGCTGGCTGTGCACGGCTGCACCATCGTACCGTTTACAACGTCCAACAGCAGCCTCTCATACGCATCTGGTAGTTCACGGTCACGTTCCTCATGAAAGGGCAGATCCAGGCGGCTGTTTTCGATCCTCAACCCCAGCCCAGGCACCTTGCTGTTGATCTTCAAGTACATGGCCTCATCTGGCTGGATGCGAATGACGAGTTCGTTCGTCGCAGCATCTGGGTCTGCACCAAACTTGGAGCGGTACAGGTGGCCTGCGGAGCAAGCACGAGACTCACCATCAAGTCAAGGTGGGGAATTTAGCAGAAAGCCTCTCTCGCCCAAAGTTCTTTGCAGCAGAGTTCGTCCAATACAGCTGTCAAGCACACTGATTGGTGGCAACATGCGGGAGTGTTCAAACGCAGTGCATGCCCAGCAAGCACACCTGTGAGACTGTGCCCAAGTCCACGCCTTCCAAACGCAAATGCCAAGACGGACACAGCTGCTACTGACAAGGTGTGTAGTTCTGCGAGAGCGCTCACCTGGGACGTGACGAAATTGGACGCGGATTTCAGCACCCCTTTTGTTCAGCGCCTTGCCGGCCTTCAGCAAAAAGGGAACGCCATCCCATCGAGCGTTATTGATGAACATCGCCACAGCAGCAAATGTGGGAGTGATGCTGCAACCAGAATAGACTGAATTAACACGCATCCCCATTCCGACACCATTTTCAACACCTGCTGCAGCCATACTGGAGTTGGTAGGATTTCCACAACGACAGGTAGGCATGAACGAAAATTAGCGGCTGATCTTCTGTGGCCTCCCAACCACTTCTGGCTGAGTTGAGTATCCGATGTACGGTCGCCTTTCCACAATGAAACGAGCACAGAATTTCAAACAAGAGCTGCCCACCTGTTTTGGGGCACAGTGTCATCATCAAGGTAGCCCGGATACGTGTGAGCCTTGCTGACCCGCTTTGTGTACTGCCCTAGAATCACATCCTCCATCTCCACAGGCTTCATGCTGCGAAGCACTTTCACTTTTTCGTTCCGAATGTCCTCTGCTTCCAGGCTCACCTGTGGCAATCAGTCCACTGTCAATTCCTGGACGTCGTTGGTGCTTCTGCACACACTATCATAGCTTGCCATTGCACTGGCACACACTCTCCAGAATGCAGCAAGTAAGTTGCAATAGTTAATCACCCTAAGAGAATCGGGTTGCAACAGCATCAACAGCGACAAGCTTGGCAGCAGATGTGAACAATAAATGATGTTCTGCACAGGCTGTTGGTGCGAAATGCATACTCCACAGCAAACTGCGATAGATCCATTGGCTTTGCTGTGCTGTGTATTAGTGGACACTTGCAGTGAAATGGCCACATTGGCCCAAAAATCCATGATTGCACGAATGAGTGCAAAATCCATGAACCATAGGCATTGGGCTAGAGAAAAACAATTGCGTCCCAGAGCTGGTTCATTCAGTGCCACAGTGATGCTTCTCAATGAAAGGAAAAAAACACAATACAACATGCGATTCCTTCCTGTCATCCATATGTGTTTGATGGCACCTCTAACATGATGTCAAAGTCTCGGGAGCAGCAAAGAAAGAGGATGCGACACTGAACGAACACAGCCATGGTAAGTGTGTAACTCTAGACAAGTCTCAACAATTGTGTGGCATTGCCAACAGTGAAGAATAAAAGCACCATCACAAGTACCATATGAACCAGAAACTCTGCAGATCAACATCTGTCCACTGTGCACGCAACGACCATACCGGTGGTTCCATCGCAAAAAGAGCAACAATCTGGAGAAGGTGGTTTTGGATCACGTCTCTGATGATGCCGTACTCATCAAAGTATCCGCCCCGCCCCTCTGTGCCATAGTCCTCAGAGAATATGACCTGCACATTCCGAATGTACTTCCGAGACCACAGCGGCTCGAATATTAAGTTGGAGAATCGTAGCACCTACCAGAAGAGTCAATCAGACTTCAGGAAAGATGGAAATGCACAGCTGCACATTTTGATGCATATGCAAACAGCAGAAAAACAATCTTAATCGCTGAAAATTCAGCGAAGCTAGAATTGGAAGAGTCAATCAGACTTCAGGAAAGATGGAAATGCACAGCTGCACATTTTGATGCATATGCAAACAGCAGAAAAACAATCTTGTTCACAGTACCAGCAGCGAGAATTTGAACACAAGTCACTAGCAAGATGTTGGCTTCAACAAAAGCTGCTGATGGAATGCATGATACTGCAAAACTCACTGGAATTTGGTGTTTCCGCTGACAGTGATAGCATGCAATTCGTCAAAAGTTGCCAACAACATAACATACCCGAGTGCTCAGATTTTCTGCACAAGATAGCCATTGACCACTTTCAGCAGAAAGCAAGCCTCACCGTCAGGTTTTCTATGAGTTCTTTTCCCAGATAGTGATCGATCCTGTAAATCTGATCTTCCTGGAGGTGCTTCCCCAAGGCCTGTGACAGCTCAAGGCTTGAGGCACTGTCATGGCCGAAGGGCTTCTCCACCACACACCGATTCCAGCCAGTCCTGTACAAGTTGCATGCCAATGAAGCTTGCTTATTCATAACGGAAATATGCTGGTCCCAAACTGTTGGCTTCTTGTGCCACCAGCTACTTGCTCTTGAAGGATGCACAAAGCAAGACACGCAATTTGCAGCAGAAGTTCCATAGACTACTTCATTGGAAGCAAGGATTGAAGCGCAGACACTGCTTGGAGGCCTATATCCAACTCCCAACAGCACACTCGGAATTCGCAGCAGAATTCTAAGATGTCTTTTTGCACACATAATTCAGGTAAACAGAGGGACCACAAAATTCCAGAATTGCCTGCGATGGCATCTCAACGTCCCTGCATTCCAGTGGGACACCACTCTAGGAAGCAACTACCGAAACCAACAAGGTAATGCAAAAAAAGCTCAATATTGTGGGGTCATCGATGTTACTCTTTGCTAATGGCTATTGGCAAAACTGAAACTGGAGTAACAATACGTAAGATGGACAGCCTTGTGCTGTCAGCAACTTTTCCGCAAAGCAGAGTGGCTCAGATACTCAATATCTCTTATGATCAGCAGCATCTCGCTGTGAACTTGTGGCTCTGCTTGATGCATTCATTTCCATAGGTACACCTTTCAGTGCACATCAATTGTACATCATCGGCATAACATCAGCTGTGATGGGGCAAACATGTTGCCCCATGACAGCTGCTGATAACCCATTTTCACCTTTTCACTTTTGCCACTGTACAGTAATGGCAAACACAAGACGCAAAACACACTGCTTAAAACAGCTGCTGGCGCCTCACCTGCTGGCACACTGGTCCGCAGCATTTGCAGCGGCGCTGATGAACACCTTGGGTGGGATGGACAAATAGAACATCCTGTTGGAGCACAGGCTACCCTCCATGACAGACAACCTGGCATCCAGCCGCTGAAAGTCTGTAGCATCGTCATACTGACCCTGAGCAAGAGCAACATCAATCATCACTTTGCCACTCTGCATCCTTTGGGCTTTTGCTAAACCTTACCGAGATGGTTGGATGTGACTGCAACATTGCCTATCCAAATCAACGATCCGTGCACTTGGTCACTTGGCTGCAACATGGCAAGGACAGCCCACCTGCTGGTAGAAGCATCTGCTTAAAAAGGTGTCCATTTTCTTGCCACAATCCTCCCTGCATTATCAAAACAGAGATCCACGTGAAATGACTCCAACAGCTTACAAATGCTCAAAACAACACAACCCCAGAAATAGGAGGATTGAGAGGGAAATTGAGACAGTATCCTGTGATAAACAATGCCAGTGTGTCAACTTATCCCAAAATATGAATGACGATAAGAGCTGACAAACAGCAAAGTTTGCTGGCAACTACCATGCACAAACTTGGCATTGCAATAGAGAACAAGACAGTGGCACAGATTGCTGGCATGCTGCACACCCTAAATAATCCCATGAAGCCACGTTGGGCTGCATTGTGACATCCTATGCCAGCATGGCATGGTCGCAAAATGCAAGCGCACCCAGCATCAATTCGGCAAGTGAGGGTCTCCACGATGGTGTCCCTGAAAGCTTCATCGTCCATTTTGCTTCTGGCATATCCAAAAATTTGAAAGTTCTGCAAAACAACGGGCAATCAGCTGGAAGCCTCCAAGATCGCTGTAAGAAGGCTACCCTTGATTCAGATCGATCGAGCAGTACTAGTGAATATTTGAGGCTTGCAAAGGCTTGCAAGGCGGCAGATCTCCCCCTTTTTTTATTGCAATTTTGCAATGCCTGTCCTGTTTGCTACCATCGTGATCTTGTGTGACACTGCAACAACTGGTGTAATGGTATCAAGCCTGTCAGGCCTGTTGGGTAGCAGGTGTCTCAGATACCAGTGCCTCGTTGATGAACTTGCTTTCCAAAATAGTGCTGGTTTTGTTTGGAAGTGAGCACTGATACTCAACTGAATGTGATGCCATGAGTCGTTTATTCACAAGTGGTTGCATCCACGGTCGTAAGTTTGCTGCCTGCCTGACAGGTGCATGCCTTGTGGCCGCATGGACACATCCAGCCACAACTCTGCCTCAGATATGTCTGCTCCCACTATGTTTCTTCGCCATTCCAACAAGTTATTGCCACCCAGGTGCAAAAATGGTGTACCAGCTGCAGCCACAACTTTCATCGAGCAAACAATTCAGTCTCAACAGGTGGTGGCCATTTCGTCGACCAGGAACCTTTTTCTAACCGCTGCCATGCAATTCGCACACCAACTATCCTGAGGATTCCATTTTTCTTTCCAAAAAGTGCATTTCATACCTCAACCAACATGCCCTCGTAGAACAGGGCAAAGAGAGCAGGGAAAATCTTCTTCCGTGCCAGATCCCCCGATGCTCCAACGACAACCACCGATAGGGTGCTGTCAGCACTGCACTCCTCCGGATGGGGCATGTATGGGTCGCTCTCCACAACCATAGCCCCAAGGGCGCCGTTCATCATTTCTTGGGGCGCTGCAGTAATCAAAGGCGATCCAACTTTGACAAAGCACCAACAGAAACAATCAAACAAAGCATCGGCAATTGCCTGCCAATTGTGCCCTGGAACGTTCGTTCCCAAACTGACGTCCTTCAGGCATGAACACGTACCCACGCCAACTGGCTCGCCCTTGGCATCGGCCTCGGCACCCACGCGAACATTAGATCGCCTGCAAATCCGGCACGGAAACAAATCGCCAGCATGGCGACGAACACGCCGTCAGATTCCCATCGGCCATGACGAACATGCGGTCGACGAATTCGCCACAACAACCACTCGAAACAGAGTTCAATGCCAGCTTGGGGAGAAAGCCAACACGCCAGGCTCACCCTTTTCTCTCAAGGCACCCCGATCCGCGGCTGCTTTCCCATGGCTGGCGTCGAGACCAATCAGCGCGCCTCACCGCGCGCGCGGCGTCCCTCGCCCATCGGATGCCCGTCGACCCCGTCGACCCGACGCGCACCGTCCGCATCTCAGCCGCCGCAGCCGATGTGCCCTCCGGGCTGGCGCGGCCTCGCGGGAGACGCGCCCGGCGCGGCGGCGCAAAAGGTGCAGTCGCCCGGGGCGGAGGGCGGGTGGCAGGGGGTGGGGGACCGGCGTAATATGCGCAGGGCGCCAGGGGCCACGTCACCCCTGGGAGTGACGTCCAGCGACCACCGCGGCCAAAACAGCGTGCCTCTCATTGTCAAAAGAAAATGGGACATTCTTGGGCTGGGAAGTCATCCGCCGGACATCTTCGCCCCGTTTGACGGCAACACTGCATCAGGTTTGAACAACGTCTCCGAGTAGAGATTTGGGTACCAGTACTTGCCCTCCAGGGGGACAGGAACCTGTTGGGTTGAGCCTCATGCCAGCACACGAGGCTGAGATCCGTGTTCGTGGATGTGTCTCTTTTTCTGCCATTGTGTCGGGGTAAACGTCCCATCCCAGTTCCAAGGAGGCCGGCCACTTTGCCTGTGCGTGGTGCAGTTTCAGAATCGAAAGGGACTGGGTTTGGCGGAACAACAACCAAACTTCAGGTCGAAGATGTTTAACATAAGCAACCATGATCAACAGACGAAAGATCGTCCCTTATTGACTCCAGTGGAGGGCGACAAATCCCTGATAGTCATTCAGGAGTCGTTAAATTCCGTTAAGAATCCGCTACGCATCCATATATGTCACCCTGAATTCCGAAATCTATTGTGAATTGGGGCATGAGCCGGCCCAGAGAAAATTACGACAATCTCGCTGACTACAGCGAGAATGAGACCCCTTCCCCCAGGCGTCTAGTAACAGAGTGTCCTCCAGCTCCTATCAAGGTTGAACTGTAGAAAAGCACAAAGGAAGCTCAGGGACGATCATTGACTCAGAACCAGTTTCGTCAGCTGCGTATGGGCTGGAAAGAACTGTCGGCAAAAGTCATTGATTACTGAGTTGTGCTGGGCGCACACATGATTAGTAAGAAACTGGACGTTAGTTTATGTTCTGATGATGTGCTGATATCATTAGGCAGTGTACACAGCCCTGGGAATGATACTAAGGATTGGACAGGAGTATTGGTGAATACTAACCAACTGGTCCAATTCTGGGAAAACAGTTGGTGGTGCCTTATTGATTTTGATCTGTGTCAGTTCGTTTGCCTATGATACAATATTGGCAGCGAGGGTTGCGTGACTTATGCAAAGAGTGTGCAAACTGAGCTGGTGTGCTTTGTGCTCATTAGTGCGTGGAGAATCTCTGCAGTTGGCCAATTTGGCTCGGAAGGTTGCCCGAGTAAAGGGCCAGTTTAGCTGCCTTTGGAACTCTGAGCCTGTAAGGCGCAGTCAAATTAGACAGGGGAATAGTATTGCACCTGTCACATCAGTGGCTGGTGGACCAGTCAGCAGTCCCTGTCATTTCCAGTTGATTTGCACCTTTGTTGTGGGCCTTTTTCTAAGCTGTACTGTCTCCCTTGGTTGTTTGTGCTTTGGGATTTGGGTTGGACACTCTTGTCCCGGATCTGATCCTGAAACCGGGTCTCGATCTCCTGGGGATGATAACATCTTGGCACCGTAAAGCTTTTGGTTTGTCGCCTTCGCTAAATGAATCGTCAGCACAAGGATATGTAACACACAACATTTGGGCCCTCACTCTTCGAACATAACTGCCAAGGAAAAATCTGCAACCGCCAACCGAGCGAACGTTGTTCTCTAGTTTTGGCGCTTGCCGGCAAACAGCGCCGAGTAGCAAATATGTCCATTCCCATGACACGACTTCTCGATATGCATGTGCATTATCATGGCCTTGATGGTACATCAGGCAGCCTGTATGTTGGAAGCTCAAGCTTGGAACAAAGTCTCCCACACAAGCAGGGCCCTTAATAGCACGTGCCCACCAAATAGCTGTGGCTGCAATAAATTGGGAGCGATTCCCAGTATAAACCATCCCCGTTGTGCAAACCACGTATCCAGCTGCAGCAACCAGATGCCTCGGGTTCACACCAACCAAAGTCACAGCATGCGCAGACCATAAAGCGCTGTATATGCTCCAAGATGACCACACTCTCCTCCCAAAGTTTGTTTGCCCCCATCACGCTAAAGAATCCCAGAAGCCACACTTCTCAGATCGTCATGCCAGCAGGCATGCCTTCGGGTCCCATGGCGCCAGGACCTGGCTGTTTCTCTGCACCCTTCTTCTCAACCAGCACAGCTTGTGTCGTCAACATTATCCCTGCAATTCCTGCTGCATTCCGAAGACCACTGAGGGTCACCTTCGCTGGGTCTATGATGCCAGCCTCGACAAGGTTCTTGTACTGGCCGTCCATGGCATCATACCCATAGGCGAACGGCTGGCCCAGCACCTTGTCCACAACGACCTCTCCCTCGACACCTGCATTCTCGGCCAGCTGCCGGAGAGGGGCGGAAAGAGACTTCATCACAATGTCCGCACCTTGTTTTTCCTCCTCATCATCGAGTGTTTCCTTGAAGCTGGGCACCAGCTCCGAAATGTGCAGATGAGCGGCGCCACCACCTGCCAACGGACTGCATCAGTTCTCGAGCTCTTGAGAAGTGCTGCAGGCCTCATTACCTCTCCAGGGCTTGAGAGATATAGGAGGCGTCAATAAATGCCAGTGCCTCTTCAAAATATAATAAAAGGCCCATACTGTCCATGAGAATCGCATTTGTGCATGTGTTGGGGGGATTCCTAACATGGAAGACAGAAACGACCATTTGCAGCCTTGGCACTCTGTGTGTGCAGTTTCAGCAATGACAAAACTGGACAACGACACACGAATGCAGAACGTCACAAAACAGCGACATGGAATGGTATACAGATGAAAACGACTGCTGCAAGGGGCAGCAGCTGCACAAGATCGATGCTTACATTCAAGTGCTGGGTTGCTGACAAGACAAGGTTAACAATGCTTTTAAACATGTGTCGCAACGTAAACAATGGTAGCGACAGAAGCAACGACCGTTGCCAAACAAATGCATTATGGAGCAAGGGAAACTTGGCCAGCGTACCGGGTACAATGCCCTCTTCAACAGCAGCAAAGGTTGCATTCTTGGCGTCCTCCACCCGCAGCTTCCTGTCCTCAAGTTCAGTCTCTGTTGCAGCACCCACCTTGATGACAGCAACGCCTCCAGACAATTTGGCGATGCGCTCTGCCAGTTTCTCTGTATCGTACGTACTATCAGTCTCGGCCAGCTCCTTCTTCAGCTGTCCAAGCCGCATCTCAATATCCTCACGGGAAGCCGATTCGGCAATAATTGTGCATGTCGTGCTCTTAACAGTGACCTTCCTGGCAGTGCCCAGCTGCTCTAGGGTTGCATTCTCAACGGTCATGCCAAGATCCTTGGCAATGAACTCAGCACCCGTGACGATGGCAACGTCCTGAAGCAGAGACTTTCGCCGCTCTCCAAAACTTGGTGCCTTGATCGCACACACATTGACCACGCCCCTCATTTTGTTGACGACCAGAGTGGCCAAAGCCTCACCGGTGATGTCCTCAGCTATTATGAACACTGGCTGGTTTACTTTCATCACCTGCTCCAGGATGCCGATCAACGTCCGAGCACTTTCGATCTGCCACAACAGTGCACAGTAAGCATGCTGGAAGCTCAAGCCTGTTATAACTAATGGTGTGTACTGGTGGTGTGCACAGTATATACATGACATACAGAATATGCTATACAAGCACAAGGCCGAGTCAAACAAGAAATCTTGATTTAGTGAGGGATACAAGGCAATGGAAGAGGCGCAATTTACAGGTCGACACGACAAAGATAAGCTTGTGTTCCTACCTTCAAGTCGGTGATGAGCACTCTACAGTTGTCAAATTCACAAACCATGCGTTCGTTGTTGGTGATGAACTGGGGGCTGATGTAGCCCCTGTCGATTTCCATCCCCTCCTGGACCTCAACAGAGGTCTCCATGGTGTTTGACGTCTCGATCGAGAGGACACCATCAGCACCAACTTTGTCCACAGCCTGTGCAATCATCTCCCCAATGGATGCATTTACAGGTCGACACGACAAAGATAAGCTTGTGTTCCTACCTTCAAGTCGGTGATGAGCACTCTACAGTTGTCAAATTCACAAACCATGCGTTCGTTGTTGGTGATGAACTGGGGGCTGATGTAGCCCCTGTCGATTTCCATCCCCTCCTGGACCTCAACAGAGGTCTCCATGGTGTTTGACGTCTCGATCGAGAGGACACCATCAGCACCAACTTTGTCCACAGCCTGTGCAATCATCTCCCCAATGGATGCATCGTTTCCTGCAGAAATTGCGGCCACATTCTGCATCAAAGAAGCCACCGACAATGAGCATCAGTAGACCCTAAAAGCAAATGTCGTTTGCAGCGTATTCTCAAAATTCTATGCCTCGCATAGAAAATTCTGCAGGCCGACCCGCTTTTGCCTTTTAAAATCGGACATGTCCTGTGTATGTCAGTTTGGCACCTGTAACATTGTCTGGTGCCAACCATTATCACACTTGCCATTCTAAGCAAGGCAAGCAAAAGTGTGCAAAAATAGGTAAAAACTCCAAAATTATGCAAAATTTCAAACTCTCCTGTTCTTAGAGACTTGAGGGAATCTCGTCCCATGCTACATAGGACAGCTGATTTTCCATTAATATTTCCATGGGAACTTTGCAGCCTGTGATGGATGACTGACTTGCAACTGGGTGTTGAGAGCAAAGAGATCAGCATGCAGGTCTTGCATATGGCACATACATTGCAACAGGTCCGTCTGCTGTGGAAGCCCCAACGTCTTCCCAGTTCATTCATACAATTTGAACTTTGATCCTTGTTCATCCACACAAGCAGACCACACAGCACTTTCAATTGGCCATCCTTTGTTTCAACTCTTGCAGATGTCCCTTTTACGAGTTTCCAGACAGGCTTCAATATGTCTCAGGCACAACTCAAGCATTTCTGCGAAATCCAAGTGAACACACGCTGCTCCTGTCCATAAAGAGAACTGTGTGGTGGGAAATGTCCACGAGTTGGGAATCGTTCACAAAGAAACAGAACCTCTCAGCTTTTTTGTTGGTACATGTGCAGTTCCAAAGTCCCAAATCGTGCACACTTGTGACCTACATGAGCAACACAACATGCAGGAGTCTGCTACTATCAATATCAGAATACCCAGCTACCAAGGGTTTCATCAGATGGTGAACTTGTGGATCTCCTGTGCTTTTTTTCTGTCTCCATTCCTGAAGACATCTAGCAAACGAGTTGACAGGTTCAGAAGCCTACCCATCGGCCTGCCACACACCTTGATGTCATCGCGCCCCTCCACTGCCTTGGCATTTTCCCTGAGCTTTTCAGTGAGAAATTCCACCGTTTTGTCAATGCCTTTCTTAATGTTGATGGGATTGGCCCCCGCTGTTACCGCCTGAAGTCCATAGTGGATCATTTCTCTGGACAGCAAAGCAGCTGTGGTCGTACCATCGCCTGCAGCATCGTTTGTCCTTCCTGCAACCTGGAGTTACAACAGACGGCCACCACATGTTAGGAAAAACACACATTGGCCACATGAGCAGGAACTCCAACCCTTGCACTGTGGCCTACAACAGGTGTGGACACTAGCACAATGCCATCACTTCGTCAGCGAATTCTGCCATTATGCTTTTGGACAAAAAGGCAGCAGCAGAGCATGACACCATAGAATCTGGCTTTAAAATGTTGACAATCACAGAGACATCACTATTGGCAAGTAAGAAAATGGCCAATCAGCATGCAGCACAGCAAGCGTGTTTGGTACCTCTTTGACTAGTTGGGCGCCTGCATTCTCCAGGGCATCTTCCAGCTCGATTCCCCTTGCAATCGTGACACCATCATTTATAACCTTCACATGACACAGCAACAACATGAACAGAATTAGAACACGTGGGGCGTGGATGGGAACATGAACGAGCGCCCATACATGCCTCCGCAGGGTTTTGGTAGCAGCTCCAGCATGCCACAAGTAGTTGTCGATTAACTATTCGGTAACATCTCTTGGCCAAAGGAAATGCAACAGGACAAAGGGTCCATGATCCAGTTGCGGGCAACTCTCACCTGCGGCATGCCGTAAGCTTGCTCCAAAACGACGTTGCGACCTGCATACATGAGATGAATGTACGTAGCCAGCCATGAGTGGCAAGCAAGGAAGGGATCAACCGTAGAGAGCCAGTGACGCCACAACTTTCCAACAAGGATTCCGAGATAAGTGTCTGACCTGTGCCTGAGGATCCAGGGACCCACTTTCTGGACATCAGAGGCCTTTGATGATGGTGATAACTGTGTGTGGGACAGTGAGTTGCAGATTAAGTACTGTGCGCTGTTGCCATTAGCTCTGAGCCAGCTTCAGTGGCCATGATTATTATTCACGTGGGCACTGCCCCGTCGCACTTTTCCTCTCGTGCTCGCCGCACCTCTCGGCCCCAGTGTGACAGCCACCGCGTCCGCCACCTTGTTGATCCCCTCCTGCAGCTTGCGGCGCGCATCACTGTCGAAAACGAGGTCCTTGGCCTCCGCACGGACAGCCTGCTCGCGCGCCACCGAGCGCGCCCGTGCGTCAACATCAGCTGATGGTCTGCGGCACCGCCCACAGCGGAAGCGGAGCAATCGCGCGGTCGGCAAGATCAGCATGAGCACGGAGAATGGGGAATGGGCCATCACGCACCACTGCGCTGCGACGATCCACACGCCGAAGTCCCGTCGCCCTTGGATGATGGACGGGCACGCCCCCGAGGGACGCCCTCCCAGAAATGTCCACCTGGAGAGGGTGAAATGCACATGCGCACACTCACAAACTGATTGGCTGCCTTGGACGCAGAAGCAGCGCGCCGTCGATGCAGCAGGAGATCGGCATCGCCAGAAGGGGACAGGTCGTGCGCGTGCGCCGCCTGGCGCACCTGGCTGAGCGGCATTGGCGCTGGCGGCAGAGTCGACGGGCGCGACGGCGGGAGCACGGGCCGGATGCCAGCCGCCGTTTGAAGGAGCGCACAACAATCGATTCTGGTCCCTGTGTCCCTTGCAGGCAACGGCTCAATGAACCTTGACGCCGGTGAAAACGTCTTAGATTAGCTCATAGGTTTGCTTTGTATTTCTCATTAGATTCCCATGAACCAATCACTGACTCTGCTTTGCTCAGGCAAAATAGGAAGCTGACGGCTACCTCATTGCCTTGTTCTGTAAAAAATCATGATGATGATGATGATGAAAGCGTCATTAACCCCGGAATGAGGTCCAGAGATGACAACCCATTGGAAAGGAGAAAAAGTGGGATTGGCCAACGGAAGAGAAAAATGACAACCGGCATGGAAAGGCTGCATTCCATGAAAACAGCGGCTGTTTGCCCTCAATAAGAGGTCAACACATCGCCAACAAATCCATCTAGGATTTTCTTTCGAATGCGAGGCAGATATGGCCCGCATGAAACCGCATCCTCATTGCCTTGATCTGTAAAAAATCATGATGATGATGATTATCGAGTTGACCGGTCTCTTTCGCACACACTCGCACACGGTCGCTCCCAGGCACGGGAAGCAAAACCGTAGCCGGATGCATTACAGAATGAGTGTATTGACTAAATACCAATCACCGCAATAATTCCCCATCTCCATTGTCCCCATGTATTTTCACCATAACACCATGTCCACCACATTTACTTTCCACCATCAAAAACACACCATATATCATGTATTATATATTAACCGTTCACTTGCCCTCACACGCTTCCCTGCGCCAAATACACACCTGCCAGAAACTCATCCCTTTTTAAATTGCATCCCGATACGGCCTTAACATATCTGTGTGTCTAATCCATACTTTTCCTTCTGGCCCCCGCACTTCCCAAACCGCATTCGTTATAGGGCGAATCAACCACCCCGGACCCTTCCACCATGGCTCGAGCTTGTCCTTAAGTGTTTCGACTTGTACTGACCACGCACGATCCCCTTTCAAATGTCAGTTGGATCTGGCAGATCCCTTTGGTCACCCGTGGTTGCCTTGGCAGCGGTAGGTAGCCAGCGGCGTGCTCGCCTTTTGCTCACCGCGGTCTTTGAACTGTTCCACAATTGGTTTGGCGACCCAAACACGAAAGAGGTGCGAGTTTTCCTGTTTTCTTCTGGCGAAGACAAAGGTGTGTTGTTATAGATCGCTACGGCCTGCTCAACAGTCTTGGCGAAATACTTGGGTTCCTCTGCCCACATGCGCCTCAAACGGTTCAGAAGTGTCTGATTGAACCGCTCTACAAACCCAATGGATGCGTGATGGTAAGGAGGTGAGAACTCCTGCGTCACTCCCTCCTGTGCACACCACCCTTGCAACTCCTTGGATTGCGTGGCTTTGCAGACGTCAGAACACAAGACTGAAGGCGTCCCTTGTGTTTGTGCCCATTTCTTCAACCCCTGCACAATGTCCGTTCCCCTTGCACCCGTGACAGCCCACGCCCCCGCTCGTCTAGTCAGCATGTCCACGATGACAAGAACAAATCGCTTTTTCCCCACTTTCTTCTCAGGAAAAGGTCCCATGAAATCCAAGCCAATGACTTGGCCAGGCTTCTCTGGCACATGCCAACAGCCAAATGGGTTGGATGGTTGCGGTCGATGAAACAACTGACACACCCTGCATGACCGCACTCTATCCGTCACCCACTGCCATGTTGGACGCAGACCCATCTGGCGAAAACGAAGATACGTCTTTCTGATTCCAAAATACCCTGCATGAGCCTGCTTCCATTGTGCCTGAGTAACGACCAACGAGCGATGTCCTTCCACTGCGCGAAGACGAGACGGTCCCAAAATCCAAGCCCCCTGTCTAGACAAAAAATCTGCCAAATAATTAAATGGTCCTGGACAAAATGAAATTTGCGGAGAGTACCAAGAAAGGTGATCGAGACGCCTCTTGAGAAAGTCGCTCAAGTGTTCCGGATTGTTGAAGCTCACGGCAGCTTGGTTATCCATAATGGCCCGAACAGGTGCACCAAAAATCCATGGTCTGAAAGTCTGAAGAGCTCTGCAAAGCGCTTCCAACTCCAAGACATTGCTCATATGGTGCTGAAAAGCTGTTGGCCACAGGCCGTGTGCACAACGAATGATCCGATGCCCAGTCAGTAGCACAGCTCCCCAACCAAGCTTACTTGCGTCAGTGATCACTGTGAAAGACCCAAATGATGGTGCCAAAGGAAAAGCACACGTGACAAAATGGCAGCGCAACAAAGAAAGAAATTGTCGCCACCGAGCCAATGAAGGATGTGCTTGGACATCACGCAAGGCTGCCAATACTTGATGGCCCCTCCAAATGAACCGAGCCGAGTGGTTCAACCAGCCACGAATCTGACGCCAACCTGATTGGGTGGTAGGCATAGGAGCTTGCTCAAACTGAGTCAACACTGCGTCTGTCGGTTCCAAACCAGAAGTTGTAAGAGTCACCCCCAAATATTCAAAGCGATCCCGGCAGAATTGGCACTTGTCCCAATTTACCCACCATCCATCCCGTTGAAGCTCTTCCAATAAAATGGCTAAGTCATGCTGATGTTGAGCTTCTGACTGGGATAATAAAAGAATATCATCCATATAAAAAAGGATCTGCGACTGAATACGACTAGACACCCGGCGAACTGTTAGCCATAATGCTCTCAAAAACTCGTGGGAACTGTTGGAATACCCAAAAGGTAGCCGCATGTACTCAAAGAATCTCCCTGCCACTGTTAACCCAATAGCACGCCACAAACATGGGGCAAGCCGGATTTGCAAATAAGCATTGGACAAATCGAGTGCTGATCCAATGCGGAACGGACGTAAGGCTGCCAAAGAGAGCTCACGATGGACAGGAAGAAAAGGCTGGTGCTGGACACAAGAATTGAATTTCCGAAAATCCAGCACAAGCCGAGTTGAGCCATTCTTTTTTGGCACCCCAAACGCCGGAATGATGTACGGCTCATGGTTCACCTCGCGAACAGCCCCCAACTTCACCAATTTCAAAACCTCCTCCAAGACCTTGGCCTCCTCGGCTGGTCCCGTCATACGGCTCGAAGGTTGCGTTTTCCATGGGAGAGGAAAACGAAAAGGGAAGCTGCGGACGATATAAGTGCGACAAGTGCCCAGACCATCTGCAAAAACAGCAGCATATTTGTGGCGCAAAGTAGCCAACCACCTAGGTCGTGCAGCCAGTGCATGGACAACATTCCCCTGAAACCCCTGCATTAGCTGACAAAACCCCCGACCTTTGCGACCCTCAGGGATCAAAAGCACCCCCTTATCGGGAATCCGAAACCACTGAACCGATGTACGACATGCCAATAGATCATAACGAGGCATCAACTGCTGTGGCTCTGCAGAGAAATTCTTGAGTGCACCCCAGATTCGCACACCATCAGTTTTGACAATGAAAGTGACCTGACGGTTGGGAAGCGTCACAAAATATTCCTGCAAAGACCCCACGGGAAACTTGCATTGGATGTTGATCCCTCGACTTTCATAAGGGCCCAGAACCACACTACGATTCAAGGGTAGAAACAAAAGACCATTCTTATGATAAGGAGGGTAAAGAGGGCGTTCAACAAAATCTAAAAAAGATCTCTCATCCTGCCCAGCTACTCCCACATGAGACGACTGAAAAGAGCTCAGCTGCGGCCCACAGCCGCCCCCAGACCGCGCTGCCTTCCGTTTCCCGACATAACCCTATTAACTCCACCCGTAGCCCCCCGTTCGCTCCCAATATGAACTGTCCCTGGAACAACAGAATGGGATGTACAAGGGAGTAACACTCCCTGGCAGAAAGCAGCGTGGCGAGGAATAGTGACCATCTCCTGCCCGGTGTTCAGCAGAATCGCCTTGAGGCGACCACGATAGTTCCCGTCAACAACCCCGCCCAAGAGTTGGATGCCATAGCGGTGAGCAAGGCCCGATCGTTCTTTCAGCAAGCACCAAGTCCCCTGAGGGAAATGGCAAGCGACTGCAGTGTCAACGGTGATGCGTTCACCGGGGCGAAGACAAAGCTCTTTGGGTACAAAAAAGTCATACGCCGCATCCCCCGAAAAATGTTTCTTGGGGAGTGGTGGCAAACAACCATCCACTGGAAACCGCTAAACCACAAGACTGTCTCCCTGCAAATGGGTAGGCTGACAAGCATCTTGAACTGGAAGACACTTGACCTGATCGCCACTGGTCTTTTGGATGAGGGTACGCTGAGTGCAATCAACTAACAACTGATTGGCTTCAAGAAACGTGAAACCCATGATGAGGGGAGGGCCCTTGCCATCCAAAACATATGCCTTCATGGGCATATCTGCGCCTTGGACTGTCACTGGCAGGGTGACGGCCCCGATCATGGGCTCCTCTTTGCCATTACCATACCGGACTTGGTGCTGGCACGGCTGCACACGGTTCCACAATCTGAGCTTTTTCACCAAGGTGCGCTGCACGAAACAAGAGGTAGCGCCCGTATCGACTAGAGCCATGATCTCGGTCCCCTCAACATTGACACGGACATGCAGGGACTTCTTGGGGTTCTTATGCACCGCGCGGCACACCTCAGGGACAACAAAAGTTTGACAGCAATGTTCACTTGGGGCTAAGCCCTTGTCCAGCGGAGATGCTTCGCAGTCATAAAAAGTGTCTTGCGGTTCCAGCGGCGCCCAAAAATCACCCTCGCCATCGTCGAAAGTCCAATTGTCTTCGAGACGCTGAAAGACGTTGGGCTGGCGTGAGGCCCCCCAATCTTCCATGGACGATTCGTCGCCTAACCCATCGCGGTAGTCGACCTCATGGTCGCGCAAACCACGCCCCTGCCACCGACGACCCCGCGAGAGGTATGACTCGGCTTCCCGGCGAAGACTGGCGGAAGTACTGACAAGCTTTTTCCAAGCAGTCATAAGACTACGAGGGCCGTCAATGTTCTTGAACTGAATAGTGTCACCGCGGAG